GGGGGGGGGGGGGGGGGGGGGGGGGGGGGGGGGGGGGGGCGGCGTACTCATGTTTTGTATGGCTTAGTCATTGGCGGCGAGGGGGGAGGGTGTGTGTGTGTGTACTAATAAAAAATGCATGTCGCAGTCGTTACACCCTTGACCTCGCATCCCTACAATGCTGGAACGGGGCGATATGCCCGGTTTTCGCCGGCCCAGGGGGGGAAGGCTAAGCTCTAGTCATTGTCGTGTCGGACGCTCGGGTGTTTGTTCTCGCCCGGTGTCGATCCGGATCAGCTGCAGACAAAAAAGAACGAACATATTTCTCTGGTAGTGGGGGGAGGAGGGCCCGGCGGCAAGGCGGGGATGCCGGGGTTCAGCCACACAGAGCCAAGCGGAACAACATTTCTTGGCGTTGGTTGGCACGGTGGATATATGGCACTTCCTCCAGATTCCACGCAAAACAAAAAATCTAAAAATCAGGACAGCTCATCCCCTTCGCGGCGACCTCAGGGAATAACGAGCGCGAAAAACAAAACAACACAACCGAACCGAAGCAGACAAACACACCGCCCTGCAGAAAGAAACAACGGCAGTGGATCTCCTATACTGTAGCCTGATGTTTAAGTCCACGAATCGACAAGAGACATGCGGGCAAATTTTATGATGCGGTATTGGCAGTTGCATACGTGGGTCTGTGACGAGTTGGTACTGGACGGTGAGACCGGCGTTCTTCTGGTAAGCTCTTGTCTCGCTGAGCTTGAGGCGCATGTCCGCGAGCTTGGCCGGCTGTATATCAGTCACGTAGAACCCGTTCGCGAGCAGGTTCCTGCCGCGCGCGCACGCACGAGAAAAGAGATCCACAGCGGGAAAAACCAGAGGGTCGGAGGGAGACCACCGGGGCCAGTGAGCGGGGGCGTACTCTGATGTTTTGCATGCCTTAGCCGTTAGAAAATTGACCACGCGGCCTCGAGACGGGGCGGGAGAGTGGGGGGCACAAACGTCAAACGCAAGCGAACAAAGAAATAAATCGACCTACCGGGGACGAAGTAAGTATACATGGGGCAAAACAATGGAGAGAAAGGAAGGGCGAAACCGAAAGCTGAAGAGATCAACCACAGCGCCAAGGAGAAAGGAAGGCGAACAATCATGCCAGCCAGCCAGCTTAGGCACATGGCAGCAGAATACGCAAAACACACACACATACTCCATGAGACTTTTGTATTTTTCATTGGTCAACCGTCTCGCGCGGTCGATGCTGCTTGCACACAAAAATACACACTCAAGCTCGACAGACGGGGAATCAAACACGACTTAACAGACCGGCTGGATTGGCTCGTCTTTTGAGCTTCACAAACAACCAGTCGAACACAGACGACCCTGGCTAGCCGCGTAAGCCTACCACGCCCCACCCACAGGCTGACACCAGACAAGGAAGATGGGGTTGGTTGGGTAGGCCAAGCCTCGGCACGTCCACTAACAGGAGTAGACCCTTGCCCTGACGAAGGCTAGTGTCTGTCTTCCTCTCCAACAAGAAGCAGGCCAAACACGCCATATCCTCCCCCCCGCTCCCCCCCCCGGTGTTTGCCATCGGGGTTGGGTTTTCGTCGCTTGGCAACGACGTTGTAAAACAAGTCCCCCCCTCGGTGTTTGCCATCGGGATTGGGTTATCGTCGCTGGGCAACGACGTTGCAAAACAAGCCAATTCACTTCGTGAACTCGGCAACCAGGTTACCGTTTGTTTTTTCCCCTCTGTTTTTTTTTTGGCGGTAACCATAATGGTGGTCGAGTAGATCATTTTGTGCGGGGAGGAGAAGCCTCACTCCGCGCAAGGGGGATAATCGCACCACGTTGTGTTAAAATAGTCAAGTACCCTCGAGGCAGTTACACAGTGCTTACAACTGCCTCTGTAGGTGACATCACCAGAAAATAAATTAAGTCATACGCAGCTGACATCCGTACGCAAGGAAGTAAGCACGAGATGCCGAACACCCTTAGCAGGATGCAGCGCACCCTTCATGCGACTCGCCGAATATCTCACGGCGCTTCGCGCTTGGTGATGTGAGAGCCTGGTCCGGTGAGAACCTGGCGTGCTCCGTCCCGGCTTTGTAGGGATGCGAGGTCAATGGTCTAACGACTACGGCATGCACGACTATGAGTATGAGTACACCCCTCGGCCCCCCCAGGCGTTTGCCATCGGGGTTGGGTTTTCGTCGCTTGGCAA